ACAGGGTGGCCATACACCCCCGTGCAACACCATGTCAACACCATGTCAACACCTGTTTTACTTTGCTTGCATGGTTTTTGAGTGAAAATGTTTGGATTCTATTGTACCCCATGTTCTTTAAAGACTCATAAATGCTTATTAAGGTGATGCAGCTTGGGGGTTTTTGTCACCCTTAGTGCAGTTTGAGTTTTCCATGATCAACGCTTAAAACTTACTCCAAAGAAAGCTGGAGGAAAAGCAAAATAGAGTAGTAAAGATAATGTTCTCCTTTATTCTCTTGTAATAGTTGTAAATGAAATATTCTTGATTCATACAAATCCAATCATTTAAGTCACCACAGTGCTAATTCTCCTCTGACTTTTATTAATTACAAGTCTTGATTGGAAAGACAGAAAAAATCAATAAATCAAAGAGGAATAAAAAAGTAAGAGAGGGAGAGAAAAATACAAGCACACCAATCCAATCCTTCATGGCCAACAACAAAAACACATGCACACACACACATTCCCTCATCCTTAAAGTTTATCTCCTATATGCAGCAGCACTGTGAATAGCAGCTATGTAGAAAAGCTGTGTAGCTGAAAGTATAATCAGAAAAGCCTCCATTGTTTTCTGCAAAATTGGACATTCAGAGGTCTGAAAGTTGAAAATATACTACAAGAAAGTTGTCAAATGAATTTTTCCTGTCTTACCAGACGGGCATTTCGGATGTGAAGCTCAATCTCTTTGCAAGCAAAGCTGCATAAATTAAATTATGGTTAGGTAAGTAAAACAATACTGCATAATTTATTCTAGGGAGAGGATGAAGAATACAGCTCGTAGAGAAAAAGATTACCCCATTGCAAGGAGTGTAAGAGTCCAAGCCATGGTAGCAACTGAGGCTGCAGATGGCAAGCTCTCAGCGGTCCATGAACGGATATGATTGATTCCTGATATTGCTGATGCAGCACCAACTACTCCAGCAAGCAAAGCAAATGTCACAAAGAATCCAGTGGAAGCATTTCCCATTGGGAAGAATATGGGTGAAAAGTGAGCTGGCAGTTTTAATTCTGGACCTGCATAGTGCATAGTTTTTATTATTAGAAATTACAATGAACACAGCAAAGTTTGAATATAAGACTTTGTACGTACTACTTTACTACCAGTAGGCTGATCCTAGTGTTTCACATAGTATTGCATAGTTTCTTAACAACATAAGCATGCTGGAGAAACACAAAGAATGTGTTGTTACCTGAGAGGAAACACAGGGACTTTTAAAACTCTTACCTATGATAAAACCATGATCTATTGCTCTATTCATGGCCCATCCACCAATGCCCAAAACTATGGCATACATGCAGAAATTCAGCCCCAAAAGAAGGGTGGCAACAGGCTTCATTTGCTCATTAGCCATATGTGTCACTATATATGTCTTTGGATAAGAAAAAAAGCTGCCTGGATCGAGAGAAGTCCTAGGGCGTTTCAGGAAACTAAAAAGTCGTGATTAGTGAAGGAAAGGCTCTACCAGGAGATGCATATGTTTTGTGCAAATGAGTGTTCTTATATATTTGAGAAATGGATAAAACGAAGTTTGGGGTTCTTTTCTTGACAAGGCTGCTAGTTAGCTCAAAAGTTCTGCATGCCTGTAAAGATGATGCTTCTCACTTCACATACAAATATGCCTGATTCTTACTTGCTTCTTATTTTTAAGGTTTTTTTAACTGTAATACCTTCCCAACAGGCAACATCTTAGGAGTTGGCAATTGTTTGTTCTCCGTGAGAAGTCATATTCTTTGCCTCTCCTGGACTCTTCTCATTCACAACACTGGCCCCAATCCGCCTTAAAAAATCTTACACTGTTTCTAATTAATTTAATAATAACGACTATTTATTATTTGGTTTCTTATACACTAAACAGCCTTTCGTTTTTATTAAAACAGTTGTTACTAAGCCAAAAAAGAAATCAGAAATAAAAATAAGAAAATTCTAAAAATTAGTTTAAGTTTTTTTTAATTAATTTATTTATATTTTATTGTTTAAAATACATTGAGCTAACTAAATAAATTTCTTATATTTTATATTTTGTTAGTAATAATTAAACTATACTATCAATGCTTAAAACACTTTTTTTTTTAATAATTAGTGATCAGTAAAAAAAGCTTCTCGAGGCTATACATTTTACATAAAATCATGATATATTGATTTAATACGAATTGTTTTCAAATATATTGCAAATCATCCGTTATTATTTTAAAATTTTATACATAGTGTCCAAATTTATAAATTTATATTAATATTAAATTGACTCATGCTGTAATTTCCCACGTTATACTTCTTTATCTTCAATGTATCAATTAATTACGCTGGTTTTTGACAATCCAACGTTCAAGAGATTATTACGCAAGAATATATTCCATTCTTCTTCAAAAGGGATCTCCAAAGAAAAAGATGCTCATCAATATTTCTTACAAGTTCGTCAACCATACATGTTTAAATTTATTTAGTTTATGAAAACTTATTTTTCACAATTTTCTGAAAGCAATAAAATGTATTTTAAAAAATAAATTAAATGTTCAAAATAACAAAATCAAGCCCAAACATTGGGGCCTCAATGTTCAACTCTTCAAGCATAAATAAAGGTTATAAAAATTCTGTTTAAATAAACTTTTCCAAGTTATATATTTACAACCACTTTTTCACTGAAAAGTATTGTGCTATCAAAATCAGTAAAAGTAAAACTCAAATTTACTCCCAGCAACCACATTGTACCTCAACGAAGATAAACGGGCTAGAAGAGCAAGGAGTTAATTTCCGTGAAGAAACCTGGAAAGGCATATGCTTAATTTGAAAGGATATCTATCATCACTCAGATAATAGGATTTATTTATTAGAAATAAATGAACAACTGCGTGAATGATATAATTTATTCATCAACTCTGATTCTCAATTTCTCACCCCTCTTTTTCTTCTTAGTTTCTTTGTTCTGGATAAATAGCTATGAAACCATTTTTTCATTCAGAAGAAACAGTCACCCAAACAAAATCTGCTGGGATGGTAATTACCAATAATGAAGGAAAACTAAGGTAAGCTTCAATTTGGTTTCCCCTTCTCTGCAGTAATACAAACTACAAAGGCATGCTCCGTGCATGTAAAAATTAACACTTCCAATCATTATGGCTGATAGACCTCAGGAAGCCGAAGACCAACACTTGAAGCAGATTTTCCAAGAGTCCTTCTTACTTCATCTGATCTATCCACGGCAATATTGTATGAGAAAAGTAAATCCTGCAAAATTGTCAATAATGATGCATGGTCAAAAGCAAGACAGATATATCTCGGTTTTTCTTGAAAATATATTATTTATAAGTAAGGTTTTTCTTGAGACTTTACGTAAATTGCATAGGCTCAAAAACTCCACATAAACTCATAACTTGTAAGAGTTTACTTGATATAAAAAAATATATTAAAATACCTCTAAATAACATAATAATTCAATATTTCAACCTCGTAATAAAGAAAAATAGCAAACTACAATAACAAAGTAACAAAGTTTGGTAGCACATCAATACTAACTAAAATCAAACTACATCAAATCATGCATAAATTCATACAAAACATAAGTTTTTAAAAAGATAGCATTTAAAAAACTAAAATATTATCACTGTTTTTTGTTAATTAAATAACAAAAAAAATCAGATATCAGTGTATACAAACACAGTAATACAAGCATACAACTATTCAGTGCCCCAAATCAGTGTATATTCTCGATACAATAGTAGAGTATATCATGAGAGAGAAGGCAAAAATGAAATAAAAACAAAGCAGACCAGTACACCACAGAATTGAAATGCGAGCAAGATGATGGAAAGGAGGAGAAGATAAGTTTGATTGCAAGAGTGAACAGACAGGTAAGAACAAAAATCGGGAGTTTGATTGCAAGAGAACATAAGAGAAGCCCTAGTTCTCTGTTCTGAAAAAATAATGGGACTCAAAAATACCCCTCCACAGGTCCGTTTTGGACAAAAAAAATTCCGCCCAACTGAACTGGCAAGTTTAGAGAAGTCTATGAGTGTTCGCTCAAGTTTACTCAAGCCTACTAAAAATTGAGTTTGCTTACTTCTTAAACAGGTTCATGAATGCAGACACACAAGTGTACATGATTTTACGAGTTGACACTCATTTTTACCAACCATGTTTACAGGCATCAAAATAAGTCAAGAACAATACGATATCAATGGTGAGACAAATCTACAGATGACTTCTCCTGGTTCAGACACACCATAGTGATGCTGATCACTAGTCAAAAACCAGATCCTCTTCTGTGCCTCTTATTTTCATTTAACAATGTACATATGAAGAATGCTAGCAAAACATTCTCTAATACACAAGTATAAGTTGAAATTTATTGAAAACTACAAAGTTAAGAGAGAAGAGAGAGAATGAATCATTAAATGATGAGTGAGACCCACCAAAATTTGCAACTTCAAATAATTTTGGTTAATAGTAGAGACTAGAGAGTGTGTTCCCAACATTTCTCATATAAATACCTTAACTAAAGCAGATGAGTGTTGACACCTTTTTTTAAGTTTTTAACTAAACAAGTTTACGTAAATCTCAATGATCAATAATAACTGTTCAATCAAAATTCTTACCCACAGGCATAAACAAATGACTATTTGAACCTTGAAGGAAATTGCAACAGAGTAATACCTTGTGATGGTGTACACTGTTGAGAAGATAAGTATAATCACGAGCAAGCTTTATTTTCTGTTGGACTGCCACACCATCAGACAAATTTTGGTTGTTGCGGAACTCTGAGGTTACAAATTCTATAAAATGTCTCTTGTTCTCTTCCTTCCCAATATGTTTCTTGACTGCCTTGAGAAGAAGGCGATAAATCTTAGCTGTTTCAAAGGCGTCAGATCTCATTTGTTCCTATCAATATTGACAATCTACTTTCCTACATAGGATGACACATTTGAAATATAAATAATTTTAGGAATCCTGTTAGCAGAAAAATAAAAATTAGAAACCTAAAAAATTAGGGGAGAGGGAAGTATAAGAGAAAGAAATACACCTGGAGAGAACAAAGTAAGTGTAAAATTTCATCCTAAGAAGGTGAAAAGATAAATAAAAAAAAAAGAAAAAAAAAAATATACAGTTGTACAGAATGGGGATCTTCAATTCCTTTTCATATTTGATTCCAATACTAACATAATGTAAGTACAAACTAGGATCAATCTCAGGGTTTGATTGAGTTCCTAATTCAAATAACAGTCAATATCAATCAGATG